TCGTTAGGAATGGATTTTTAAAAAGTATCTCTAGAACTAAGTCTTTTTAAGCTATCTTAACTGGAGAATCTCATTTTGATATTTATTGATAGTCTGTTGGGATGAAGAAATTTAATCTTCAAGGATCTATAGTCTTTCTTCTAATGAATTCTTTTTAAGATTCAAATTTCTAACAATTTTGGCTATAGTTTCACAACTATCGCAAAATTGTATTGATGAAGATGATGACGATGCTTGAGAAGTAATGGTTTGCATAGTCTGTCTAACTCTTTCAGATATAAAAAAGTTAAATCTTATCATTTCTCTGCAAAAGTTTAAAGCTTCTTTGAGTGTATGAAATCCTTTGAAGAAGGGGACAGGAAATCTTTCTACTTGTTGTGGTACCTCTGGCCAATAATTAAATATACCAGGCTTTCTACATTTAATTACTACAAGAAAACTAAAATTTTTGCTTTTTACTTGATTATGAATCTGTTTAAAATGGTTAGTTAAGGTATTAATGTTGTCTAATTTTTGTTTAAAGTCAAGTGCCCATCCAGAGATTATCCAATAGACAACACTCCTTTCTTGTAATCCTTCTAAATTATTTCCTCTGAATCGAAAATTAGATCCTTAAAGGGCAATTGTTAGAGTGACATTCTCAAAGTTCATCACCTTTGATCCATTTGCATCATGAATATAATGGGTTAGAAAATTAATAACATGCTTACTTAATTTATCTGCTAAAGTATTATTTCTTTCGTCTATATGTTCTATACTAATTTTAAAAGTACTTAATATCTCACATAATTTTAACCATCTTTTATGCCTTATTTTATCAAAATTTGTCTTTTTGATAAATTTTATTATAGCTTCATAATATGTTCTTATTGTAAACTCAGTATTTAGGAATAATTTAAAGTTTTCTATGCTATATATGATGGCTATTATTTCATAATCTAAACTAGTTAAATACTTTCCTATTATCTTATATTTTCCGTTAGCACATCTACAATTTTTTCTTCATTTTTATCACTATATTTATTTGGTTTGGAATGTAAAATTCCTCCCCATCCTAATTCGTATCCATCTGTTTCTATTATCTTATATTCGCTATCTAATGGTAATCCTAATTGTGAAAAATTTTTAGTTTCTACTTTCTTTCCTAAATCTTTGACAAACTGTCTAACATAATTTAATATTCCTAGAAAGGCCTATAATTTCTTAGTTTCTTCTATTTTATCTAAAAATTGTAAAATTGTCTGTACTATATATGGTTGTAGCCGAATTCTTCTGTCTCCTAAAATTATTCCTAAAAATTCAAATTTTTATTTGTTTATTTATTTCCATTTTCTTTTTACTTATAATTAAATCATTTTTTATAAATTTATTCAAATTTATCTCTAGATGTTTCATGTTTTTTTTGTAATCTTTACTATATATTAAAACATCATCTATATATACACAAACAAATAGAAGAAAATTAAATATACTATTCATCTTTCTTTGAAAAATAGAAGATGCATTTTTTAATCCAAAATGCATGATTAGCCATTCAAAACGTTCATTTGCATAAATACTATATATTGGGCTAAAAGATTTATCATCGGATAATTTTACAATGTTACACTATATTTCTTCTATTATCATGGATCTAACTTTATTTTCTATATTTTTATATTTATTGGGGCATTTGTTAGCAAAATGTTTGGGGTCTCCACAAATATAATATTTACAATCTTTTTTTAGTTTTTGGTTTTCTAACAAATCTATTATAATTAGGTCTTTTATTTTTATAGTATGTCCTATTTAGTCTAATATTATATCTTTTTTTTTTTTTATCTTGATATTGTTTTTTATATATAGATTTTTTAATCCTTCTTCTATATTTCAAATTCCGTTTTTCTACTTAATGTTCTTATTAAAGGATTATCAACTAATTTGCTACTACTAGCTGCAATTTGTTTTCGTTTATCCATTACGTATAGATCCACTTAGTTTTCTTAAATTTACTAGGTTTTTAAATCTTACTTAAATCTAATTTTTCTAGTTTATTTATTATATTATCTAAATCTTGTCTAGTATCTATTGACTTTTCTTTTTCTAATATTTTAACTTTACTTTCCAATTTTTCTAAGCTAGGACTAATTACATATGTTTCTCCTGTATTATTAAATTTTCCTTTTAGTATTTCGGTATGTTGGTTTTTAATATATTCTAGATTACTTTATATAGTCTTTATATTTTTATTTTATTTTCTAATAAAGTTTCTACGTTTTTATTTGAATTGTTCATTTCTAAATTTTCTCCTAAATTTGCGAGTAAATCTACAATACTATTTACCTATTTATCCTTAGAGCGTAAAAGATGTTTAAAATTTTTATCAAAATTACAGATCAAAGCTGTATCTAAACCATCTTTTCTTTTAAAATTTCCTAAGATTTCTAAATTTAAGCAATCTATTATTTTCATAAACTAATTATCTTTTAGACTAGCAAACAGCTCTGATACCAATTCGAGTGATAAGATTTTGTAGTAAGAAATTTAAGCCAATTAAATTCTGTTTGAATAATTTGTGGCAAAAAGTCTTATTTTATTTATTTATAGTAAAGTTCTCTATGTTGAAAGTGACAGAAAATACTTTGTGCGATTTTGAAAATGTCTTTAAGTGAGTAAGAAAAAGTCTATCTATTAATTAAGGGAAAATGACAAATGTTTTGAAAAAATCTTTAAGTGATTGGAAAAAGTTTGTCTACTAATTTATGCAAGTAAGAAAAAGTCTATCTATTAATTAAGGGAAAATGACAAATCTTTTGAAAAAATCTTTAAGTGATTTGAAAAAGATTTGTCTACTAATTTAAGCGAGTAAGAAAAAGTCTATCTATTAATTAAGGAAAATGACAAATCTTTTCAAAAAATATTTTAAGTGATTTGAAAACGTTTGTCTACTAATTTAAGCGAGTAAGAAAAAGTCTATCTATTAATTAAGGGAAAATGACAAATCTTTTGGAAAAAAATTTAAGTGATTTGAAAAAGTTTGTCTACTAATTGAAGCGAGTAAGAAAAAGCTATATATTAATTAAGGGAAAATGACAAATCTTTTGAAAAAATCTTTAGGTGATTTGAAAAAGTTTGTCTACTAATTTAAGTAAGAAGGGAAAATGACAAATCTTTTTAAAAAATCTTTAGGTGATTTGAAAAAGTTTGTCTACTAATTTTAAGTAAGAAAAGTCTATCTATTAATTAAGGGAAAATGATAAATCTTTTGAAAAAAATCTTTGAGTGATTTGAAAATGTTTGTCTACTAATTTAAGCGAGTAAGAAAAAGTCTATCTATTAATTAAGGGAAAATGACAAATGTTTCGAAAAAATCTTTAAGTGATTTGAAAAAGATTTGTCTACTAATTTAAGCGAGTACGAAAAAGTCTATCTATTAATTAAGGGAAAATGACAAATGTTTTGAAAAAATCTTTAAGTGATTTGAAAAAGATTTGTCTACTAATTTAAGCGAGTACGAAAAAGTCTATCTATTAATTAAGGAAAATGACAAATCTTTTCAAAAAATCTTTAAGTGATTTGAAAATGTTTGTCTACTAATTTAAGCGAGTAAGAAAAAGTCTATCTATTAATTAAGGGAAAATGACAAATCTTTTGAAAAAAATCTTTAAGTGATTTGAAAAAGATTTGTCTAATAATTTAAGCAAGAAAAAGTCTATCTATTAATTTAGGAAAATGACAAATCTTTTGAAAAAATCTTTTAAGTGATTTGAAAACGTTTGTCTACTAATTTAAGTGAGTAAGAAAAAGTCTATCTATTAATTAAGGAAAACTGACAAATCTTTTGGAAAAAAATTTAAGTGATTTGAAAAAGTTTGTCTACTAATTGAAGCGAGTAAGAAAAATCTATATATTAATTAAGGGAAAATGACAAATCTTTAGGTGATTTGACAAAGTTTGTCTACTAATTTAAATAAGAAAAAGTCTATTTATATATTAAGGGAAAATGACAAATCTTTTGAAAAAATCTTTAGGTGATTTGAAAAAGTGTCTACTAATTTAAGTAAGAAAAAGTCTATCTATTAATTAAGGGAAAATGACAAATCTTTTGAAAAAAATCTTTAAGTGATTTGAAAATGTTTGTCTACTAATTTAAGCGAGGAAGAAAAAGTCTATCTATTAATTAATAGAAAATGACAAATCTTTTGAAAAAATCTTTAGGTGATTTTAAAAAGTTTGTCTACTAATTTAAGCGAGTAAGAAAAAGTCTATCTATTAATTAAGGGAAAATGACAAATCTTTTGAAAAAATCTTTAGGTGATTTTAAAAAGTTTGTCTACTAATTTAAGCGAGTAAGAAAAAGTCTATCTATTATTTAAGGGAAAAAGACAAATCTTTCGAAAAAAAAAAAAATTTAAGTGATTTGAAAATGTTTGTACACTAATTTAAGTGAGTAAGAAAAGCCTATCTATTGTTTAAGGGAAGATGATAAATCTTCTGAAAAAAATCTTCAAGTGATTTGAAAAAGTTTGTCTACTAATTAAGAGAAAACGCCAATCTTCTTACCAATTACAAAGTCTTCAAATTACGTGGCCAAAATAGAAAATTTTCTAAGTAGCTCCAACAAAACCTATTAAGATAATAAAATGTTCTCTTAGAAAGGAAATCTTACTACTTTTATCTTTATTTTCTCTTATAATTTTTATGTGTTTTTGCCTTTTTTTGGCAATTCTCAAGATCTTCTATCAAGAAATTCCGACACTGAGAGATGAAAAACTCAATGATTTATTTCTTGATCCGTAAAGAGGAGTCACCACTATTTCTATCTAACGTTAATAATATCACTACACCAAAAAAAGGTTTTTGCAACGTTTTAACGTGTGTTGCGAAGGTCGATGTTGTCATTGAGAGAAGTTTTTGTAAAGTTTATTCAATGTTACAAAAGTCTATATTTTGCAACGTTTGTTCACATATATCAATCACAAAACATGATAGAAAATAACTATATCAAATATCTCCAATAATTATTATTAACTGAACTCTAAAATGTAACAATATTTCTTAAAAACCTAGATCCAAAATTATAAAACACCTAAAAATCCAATATATTTTCCCAAAAAAATAAAAATAAATTATTAACTGAACTCTAAAATGTAATAGTATTTGTACGAAACCCATATCCAAAATTCTAAAACACCTAAAAATCCAATATATTTTCCAAAAAAAAAAAAAAAAAGCACTAAGTTGCGAGTGAAATCACCCTATCGGCTTCCCTAATTTTCTTCTCAGCAATCTTCAACATGAGCTGTGCCTTAAATATCGATCCTGCCCTATAAAAAAAGGAGATAAAGATAGATGTCACATTTTAGACATTTGTACCAATTATAATCGAGAAGAAAAGCAAAGAAAAATAAATTGTTCAACCATCAATTGCACCATGAACATACATTCAATTTACTAAATATTAATTTCAGTATAGTGATCGAAAAAATCAGCCAATACAGTAGCCTAAAACGGGGCTCCAATACCTGTTCTAGTGATAAATATGCTGATCAACCAATTAATTTTACTAAACTTCTTTTTACTCCTTTTTCTATTTTTTTTTTAAATTTTTAAATTTTTTAATTTTTATAGGCAGGGGGTGAAGATTGGTTTAGATGCCCATGTATATTAGAGTTTATCACACAATACACCTTATTATGCATCAGCAACAAGCCAGCACAAACCAAAAAGAAGATAATTGATTCCGAACTTCGATAATTCGATTTTCAAAAGAAGCATGCATGATAGGATAACAAAAGTTCCATCATTGTGTAAATCCAGAATTCAGAATTAGTGAAAGAACATCTATTATTACCTTATCTCCTGACACCGGATCAATCACTGGATCTTCCATTACCACTTGTTGAAGAAACACATTTCCCCTGGTTGCTCTAAACAGAATTCATTCAAAAGCCATAGATTTTTCTCTACCAACAAGTCCACTAACAAATCCCAGCTTCACTTGATTTAAGGGATCTGTTGTCATTTCCTACCAATATCATAAGCAATATATTAAACAAACATATAATGAAGACTATTGACTGGAGTGAAAAAGATAATCATGATCCATTTAAGAGTACTTGTTCAAGTAACAGGGGACGATCAACTGATCCCTCGCCAAGGATATGTGATTCAAATTCTTTGTGCTGAGCTGCAGCACTGGTTTGAGCTGAACGGAAAAACTGACTGGCCTGAATCAAGAAACACATAATTTTATTCATATTAGAGATTGGTAAGAGCTATTACCCGACTACATAAATTGAGAAGCACAAAGGTTCATGCAGAATAAATGTAAGCTTTTATAGCTGGAAAGCTAAAAAAGTAGATTGACATTACTTTCTGTACAACGAGCTTATATTCTAAAAGTTCATTATATGATCGTTGCAGCTTTTCATTGTTTGCATTCATCTCAACCAGCTCTACTTCCAAGTTCTCCAAGTTTCACCTTGTCCAAATGCATATTTGTTGTAAAATTCTCTCATCAGTCCAAAAGAATACACAGCATGAAGAGCAGAAAACTTACAAGATTATACTATTTAATAATAGGGATACATTCACAAAGTTGCATATACATATATATTGTGCGTTAGAAATCACACACTACAACAACATGCAGTACAAGGAGCTTCCTTAGAAGATTCTTGCACATTCAATAAGTACCCAAATGAAGCTTCTCAGAAAGGAAAAATCTCAAATTTCAAGCTCATAAACTAACACCATTATGCATTTGAAATAAGATGGACTGATTTGGGGGTCAGTAAAGAGATTGCACCATGCATGATCAGCCGAGTATATTACTGAGTATAATCCTCTTCCACGATAAGCCAAATTTTGGCAATGAAAGATGCTACATGTGTGTCTACCACAATTTGTCTAGCACTGTAATTTAAATAGGGAAAAGTACGAGTATTGAAAAGAGAAAATAACAAAATGGGTACTTCTGTTTTGTTTTTGACAAATATTTAGACCTGATTAATATGTGGGAATATGCAGAAGTGGGTGTCCGGCGGTAGGAGCACTCAGAGTGAAGTGTCTTATTTTGGTTTCACTTTCTCAGTTAAAAACAAAGCCAACTGGCTAAAACAAAAGGATTAGAACAAAATGAACACAATCTCTTCACTAAACCATATAAAATCTCTGATATGCAGAAGAAAAGCGATAAAGTATCAACTTCTTCAGCTCCCACAGATTAAAATATTATCACGTGCTTAGCCACATGACCACAAACTGAAATTGTAACAACTAATATGGAAGTCAGGATTGTAACATCAACACAAGTCAATGAACAACCATTTATAATAGAAAATAAGAACCTCCACCTTAATTCAATTTTGACATCTACCGTAATACTGACACAAAATACTTAAGTATGCTACTTAAGCAAAAGATAGGCAATCCTTGAGGCAAGAACCAATCCTATCTCCACATACATTATTGACCGGAAGTACAATATGCAAGCAAGGCTTGAAGCAAGAATACATATAGTTCAAAAATTAAAATATCAAGTAAATTCAAAAGAAGAGCCATAATTGAACTTAATTAATCACCTGAACTATACCACCAATCTACTGCTCCCTTATAGATCCAAAATTTTGCAATGTAATCCCAGATTCTTTAATCCCATGATCCATCCATGAGTTGCTGGACCCTAATCCCAGCTTGCACTCTCACCATTTTCTTTTATTTATCCACCTCCAAAACCTCATCCATTAAAGCCAAATTGACCATCCCTGCACGCGTCAATCCAATGCCATTTGGAGACAAGCCCGACCCCATAGGCCGTATCTTTTGCTTATTTTGGTTACAATCTTTAATTACAGATTCAAGCTCTTGGAGGGGCGGCGCCGGCAACTTGAGAGCGAGAGAAAATAAGAGAGGCGGCGCCGGCGACTTGAGAGCGAGAGCGAGCGAGAGAGAGAGATGGAAGGCTACGGTAGTGTTTTGCTGTGACTGTCTGGCGATGTCCACAATAAAATTACTTTTTTTTTTTTGAACTAAGCGGGTCGGGTAGGTTGAATCTTTTTCACGGGTCAACCCATAACCCGACCCAACCCGAACCGCCTCCTTCACCCAAAACCCGAACCCAAACAAAAATTTTAAAAAACCGACCCGAAAATATTTTGTTGGTTAATGTTGGTCAAAACTTTGCAAGTTTACCGTTAAATATATATATATATATATATATATTTTTTAATTTGGTTTTTTTAAAGTTTGTTAACTAACTAATCAATTGATAAGGAATTAGTAAAACTAAAGCAATTAAGACTTCAGAATTCTATAACAATACTTGTTAATATGGTAACACACACCAACCGTCAAAACTCACGCCAACAAAATAATTCACTTAAAATTATTTAGAAGAAAAAATTTAACTTATATATTGTAAAAATTACTTATAAAAAATATTAAAGAAAAATTTTAATTTAATATTTTCAATTTTTCTTTTAATTTTTTAAATCAAATATTTGGTCGCTGAAACCTTAGATGAATCAGGGACCAACGAATTTGGTCACTATAGAAGTCAAAATGTTGAAATAATAAGCTAGAATGAGACTTGGAGAATGGAGAGGCGAAGTTGTGGTGGTTGAAGTCCCGTCAAAGACAGAGATGCAAGATTGAGGCATGGAGAATGGAGAAGTGAAGTTGAGCTGAGTGATAAGGTCTGCAACATTTTTCTCTTTGTCTTCTAAATTGAAAGGCCCAATAATCCAAAATAAATAAAATAAATAAAAAGAAAAAAAGTCTAATTTTTGGCAACGTTGCGAAAAGTCTACCTTTTGCAACGTCTAAAAAAAGTTGCGAAAGGTACCTTTTGCAACATTTAAAAAACATTGCAAAAGATAATTTTCGCAACGCTTTTTAACCGTTGTAAAAAGTCTACATTTTGCAACATTTAAAAAAGATAGACTTTTTGCAACGTTTTTTAAAAGTTGCAACAGGTATCTTTCGCAACGTTTTTTAAACGTCGCAACATGTTGACTTTTCGCAACGTTTTGTTAAACATTGCAAAAAATTAAACTTTTCGCAACTTTCCAAAAACATTGCAAAAAGTAACATTGGGGACATTTATTTTAAAAATGTTGCCAAAACTCAATTATATTAACTAATTGCAACATTCACCTATTTAAATATTACAATAGACCCCTTTAATAACATTTAACTACCAAATGTTGTATTTTATCTGTTGCAAATGACCATTTTTGGTGTAGTGTATGTGGCTTTCTATAACAATCAACTATGAATCTCTCGATTTTCTAAACAAATATCAATAAATTCTTTAAAACTTTCTACTGAACAATAAAGCAAAGTAAATGAAATATAATTATCTAATGGCATAAAAATATTGGATCTTAAAAATAATATGATTGTAATGGTCTTAGAGTACTTTACCGTTCAGCAAACTAATTTATTAATTCTTTTAACTCTTTCTTAGATTTTTTCTTGACCTTTTAAAAAAGGTTTAAGAGTATGACTAAAAAGATTTTCATCATATTTAAAAAGGTTTGAACAAACTCCTTCTATTGGAGTACAAATTAGCCAACTTAACTAAAAAGATTACTTTATCTTTTGGCCGTGCAATCGAGAATAAAGAGGCTAAAGGCGTTAGAAATATGTTTTTGAAAAAGAAATAAAATATTATTTGTGAATAAATTAATTGCTTACTTGATGTTTCCGTTTTTAGGTCTTGTTCGAAAAGTAAATAAAGTAGAGGAAAATTATAAACAAGAAAAAGTGTGAAAAGGACCTACTTTAATTTCGAAATCTTTGAATTTACAAAGATTGTGGATAGATTTTTGAGTACAAGTGTGAAAGTGTGCTTTGTGTTTTTTCTCGATATATTTTTCTTTATGAGTAATATGTGTATTTTAATGACGCTGGTACATCACGTCTATTGTTTTGATACTATATCACTTTACAAGTGTACGATCTGTAATTAAAGAGAAATTAATAAATACTGTACAACTTTACAGGTGTGCGGTTTTAAAACGACTGCATAAAATTATTGACAATTTTTTTCTTCATTCTGACAACCTTATCTTCAGGCTTCCTCCTTTTGTTGACTTTTGCTTGATAATTGAGTACTATTCTTTTTATTTATGTCGTTTCATCTTTCTATCTTTGCTTTTTCTTCATTTTCAATTATTGCATATATTTATCCATCATTTCAATGTAGGTTTCTTCTAACTCTAGAACCATTTCATTGTCTTTGCTATCAAATATGTATTCTTCTTCTTCGGTATCTGATTTGGTTTCTGTAAATTTTCCATTAGTTTCTTGAAACGTCATCAGATATAAATTATTTTGCTCAATATTTGGTATTGAAAATTTTCTATTTTGATTCTTATAGGGAGATGCTCTTGACAGAAAATAACTCCATTACTCCATTGTGCTGCTGTCTGATATCATTACTTTGGACTTTCATCATTGTTGCGGTTTCTGATATCCGTCTTTCATAATCAATCTGTCTAATTTTTATTTTTGTATTTGTTTTTTAAGAGGGCCTAAATCTTATGGCTTCTTCATATATTAAAATATGATGATAGGCTGGAATTATAATACCAGTACTTACAAGAGGAGGTATGGAAATAAACTGAATCACCAAGGGATGGTCTTTTAACTGATCAAGAATTTGTTAAAAATTTTGGTGGAAAAAATTTAAAAGATTTGTATATATATAGTTATATCATACCAAACTGTAAAGTTGTGTAAAAAATGACCTTCTTTCTCAAAAATTGTATAATCAAAGGAAATTGTGGGATAATTGTGTTTAAGAAATGATGAGTTTTTGGCTGAATCATATTTGGGATTATATTTAAGGAAGTATCTATTTTCATTATGATAGTAACTTAAAATTTGAGCAAAATCTATAATTTTTTGTACAACTAAATTCTTTATAGAACTTCGAACAATACTGGTACAATCACAAATTTTTTGTCCTTTTCTTGCCCTGCAGTTGTAGAATCTATTAGTTCAATAATTCTTTCTATTTTATTAGAATAATTTCTACTTGTGGAAGCAATATCTTTAAGAATGGATCTTTCAAAAGTATCTCTAGAACTTAGTTTTTTAAGCTATCTTGTAATTGGAGAATCACATTTTGATATTTACTAATAGTTTGATGGGATGAAGAAATTTCATTTTCAAAGATCTATAGTCTTTCTTCTATTGAATGCTTTCTAAGATTCAAATTTCCAACAACTTTGGTCATAGTTTCACAACTATCACAAAATTGTACTGATGATAATGATGATGATGCTTGAAAAGTAGTAGTTTGCATAGTCTGTCTAACTCTTTCAGATATAAAAGGCTAAATCCTATAATCTTTCTACAAAAGATTAAAACTTCTTCAAGTGTATAAAATCTTTTGAAAAAGGGATCAGGAAATCTTTCTACTTGTTGTAGTACTTTCGGCCAATAATTATATATACCAAGCTTTCTACCTTTAATTACTGCAAAGAAATTAAAATTTCTGCTTTCTACTTGATTATGAATCTGTCTAAAATGGTTCACTAAGACATTAATGTGTTGTCTAATTTTTGTTTAGAGTCACTTGCCATCCAGAGATTATCCAATAGACAATGCTCCCTTTCTAGTAGTCTTTCTAAATTATTTCCTCTGAATCGAAGATTGGGTCCTTAAGGGGCCACTCTTAGAGTGACATTCCCAAAGTTCATCCTTTTATGCATATGTATCATGAAGATAACGGATTAGAAAATTAATAACCCGTCGACTTAAATTATCTGCTAAAATATTATTTTTCCGTCTATATGTTATATATTAATTTTATAACTACTTAATATCTCATATAATTTTAACCATCTTTTATTTCTTATTTTATCAAAATTTGTGTTTCTGATAAATTTTACTATAGCTTTATAATCTGTTCTCATTGTAAGCTCAGTTAATAATTTAAGTAAAATTATTCCTAAATAGTTATAGTAAAATCGAGAGATTGATAGATTAATTGTTATAGAAAGCCACATATTATTTGCACTATATAGAAATAGAAGTGACTCCTCTTTATAAATCAAGAAGTGAATCATTGAGTTTTCTATCTTTTAATGTCGGAGTTTCTTGATAAAAGATCCTGAAGATAATTTAGAATTTTTAGATAATTTATCTTTAGAAACTTTAAAAACTAATTTCATACCAAGAAATGAAGAATTAATAATTTTTAACAAGACATCATCTAAGATAGATAGTATAGAGAAGATATTAGAAGTTGCTGAAAGAATTCAAATAATAGGAAAAGATCCAATAAACCATTGGGATAAAAATAAAATAGAAGTTAAACTAGAAATCATAAATGGAAATATAAAAAATTAGAACAGTAGAAATAAAACATACAAATCAAGTTATAGAAAATTTTAATATACAGATTAAAGAGTAATTAGATTTAAAAGTAATAAGACCATTGAGTAGTCAACACAGATTAGCAGCCTTTATGATTAGAAATCATAGTGAAATAAAAAGTGGAAAAGCAAGAATGGTAATAAATTATAAAAGATTAAATGATAATACTGTAGAAGATGGATATAAG